AGAGGGAGTTGTAAACTGGGGAAGAAGGGAGGAGAGTGCAGGGGGTTTGGGTTGTGACGTGGGGTAGCGGATTGGGGTACATGGTGCAAGAGAGGTATGGGTTCAGGAGGGGATTCTGGCCTGGGGAAGAGTACAGGAGGAGGTGCAGGGTGTGGGAGGGAGTTGGCTGCCTCTCCCCCCAGAAAAATCTCTCAGCTTCTATTGGCCAGAAACCAGCCAATGGGAGCTGAGAGACTTTGCTGGGGGCAGAGGCAGTGTAATGAAGCTTCTCCCTCCCTTCCCACTCCCTGCAGCATGGAAAGCCACCCGCTTTGATCAGCAGGGCTCCATGATGCACGGGCGGGTGCGGGTTGGATCAAAAGACTTGGCGGGCCAAATCCAGCCCAAAGGCTGGATCGTGCCCACCTCTGCTCTAGATAATACAAGTCCTGCCCTGAGTTCAAGGGACTGGATTAGATGACCTTTTAATGTCCCTTCCAGGCCTGTGATTCTATAAATCTGTTATTCCAGAACATTATTATTAGCTTTTCCATCTGAGAATCTTTCCTCCTCAATATCTATGCTGGATGGCTGTTTGTTATAATGTACCTAATGTCAACCTGTGATTAACATAATCTAGTGCATTAAATATTGTTTTGCTCCAACCATTCTTTATTCCTCTATGACCCTGACCACAGGAGGAGAAAATTTTGTGGAAAATTGTCATTGTTGCTACCACTGGTTCAGCCCCACCAAAGTGATAATGGGAGCTCCAGCACAGAGCAGCTGCTACTGAGCTTTTTAAGTGAACAAGATACTGAGAAGAACTGTATAGAATTGTAGTGCTTAACAGCTTATCCTATGGGGCTCCCAATGTTATGAACACCAGGGGAACTGAACAGGTGGCAGGTTGGCTTGAGATTCTATATACTATTTGCATTGCATATGAGTATCTAGCCTTTTCTTAACCCCTTGTTAACATAAATAAATCCAATCAGCTTGCACATCTCACCATCTGTGTTTTCATTGTCCAGTTCTGAATGCTTATTGATTCCTCTGGAGTATTGCCATTGCTTTTATGGGAGGAAACTTGGCTTATTTAACACAGCTAAGAGACAGCTGAGAGGGGATAGGATTGCTTTTTATAGATAGATCAAGGGGTAAACATCAGAGAGGTGAAGAGTTATTTAAGCTAAAGGACAATGTTGGCACAAGAGGCACTGGAATGGTTCAGTTATGGTATGACAAATCACTACAATCTACTGCTCTGAAGGTGGAAGTTCATAGCCCAAGAGAGACGGTTGCTACTGGTAAGAATAGCAGTAACCTCTGGGTGGATTTCCAATCAGAAACTGACTTTAACTTGAAGGAAGCATGATGCAGAAAACAGGGTGTTCATGAGTTTAGACCCCGCCCTGCTTTTGGTCTGTCCTCCACAGTGCTCCTGTTCATGATGGTGTCTGGAGCCCCAATTTGCAACAGTATCAGGGGACTATGTTGATAAAACTTTGATTTTTCACCTAATATGCCGCAATTGGCTCCCCCCTGCACCATTCAGTAGTAGGAAACAAGTGTCTATTCAGTCATAACACATGGGGATATTTAAAGCTATGCCCCTTTTGAGATATAACTGAACATAAAACACACTAGACTTCCTCTTCCCTCCCCACAAAAAGTCAGAATTGTGTTAACTTCTTAACTGAAAAAGTCTTAGACAATTTCTTGCAATCTTTGCAAAATTTCCAGGTCAAAAGGAGTTGTCCTGCAAACATGTGTATGTATGTGGGCGTGGGCGCATGAGAGAAAGCGTGTGTGCATGTGTGCGAGAGTGTGCATGTGCAAATATTTAGGGTTATAATGCAGAGCTGGTTGCAGCCCCAACCATGGAGTTATTATTGCTTCACATGTCATTACATGTCAACCAAAACTGAGTGAAGTTTTAACCTTTATGTTTTGCTAGGTGGTACCACGATAATCTCACTCGCCATGCAGCAGAGGCTCTTCTTCTTACTAATGGATGTGATGGAAGCTATCTCTTAAGGAAGAGTAACGAAAGGAATGATTTGTACTCGCTCTCAGTAAGGTAGAATATGGGAAAAAAGTGAATTAACTTACATAACTCTATATTTCTACCAAATATAAGCAGAGTGAAACCTTGTTGAAAGTCATACCAGGAAGAAACAGATGTCCCAACACATAAGATGCATGTCCAACTTCAGAGGTCCAGAACAGTTTGTGTTCCTGAGAAATGCTTCATTTCATGAACGGCTTTAAAATTAAACATTGTACAATCACTCATAACCCTCTATAATTGTAAAACCAATTATCTTGGCAGCTATAATAATAAAGGGAGGTAGACTAAAGACTCCATGATGAGAATTTTATGGTAGTAAACACAGCAGGTAGTCTCAGGAGCCTGGAGATAACTTCTCCAAATTACCTTCTGACCACAAGCCTAGAGAAACCAAAGAGTGCCCCCTGAGGCCCATCTCAGGTTTTACACTGTGCCCAGAGGTACAGCAATGCGTGACTGCTCCAAAAGTCAGATCCTCTGCAGATGTAAATCAACATAGCGTCAATGACATCAAAGGAGTTATGATTTACACTAGGAGAGGATGTAACTCATACTATTGAGTCTTGATTTAAGGAGCTTTAATTCCCAATCACCAGGATACAACAGGATTTAAAGGGCATGTGTTCAAGACTCAATAGTTAGGTTTGTAAACTTTTTCAGGTATCTAAAAGGAGGAGGGAGAAAACTTGTTCTCCTTGGCTTCTGAGGATAGAACAAGAAGCAATGGGCTTAAACTGCAGCAAGGGAGGTTTAGGTTGGATGTTAGAAAAAAGTTCTTAACTATCAAGGTAAGTCAAACACTGGAATAAATTGCCCAGGGAGGTTGTGGAATCTCCATCTGTGGAGATATTTAAGAGTAGGTTAGATAAATTTCTAACAGGGATGGTCTAGACAGTACTTGGTACTGCCGTGAGGGCAGGGGACTGGACTCCCCTTCCAGTCCTAGTATTCTATGATTCTGTGAAGACATTGCATGATCTGCTATGAATAATTTGCAGAAAAAAACATTTAACATACCCTTTAAATTAATAAACTAGCCATTTATGCATTGTTTGGTGTCATTGTGATATATTGTACTTTGAAACCAATGTTTCATACAGGTGCTGATCATTAACACCAGTGATTTTCATCAGTGTAGCGATACCAGCACAGATATGTTCAGTATCCACATGCTTCCAGACCAGGAGCATTGTGTGGCAGGGAATGCCTTTAAAAAGTCCCTTATTTGTACAGAGCTTAAAACAATGGGATACCAATTGTGTCCTTTAGGAAGTACTCCAATAAAAACAGTAAGTATTGATCACAGGTGTGTAAGGTAAAAAAAATATGAAAAGGAAAACACCGAGAAACATTTCTTAAAACATTTCTTAATTTTCTTAAATTTCTCAGTGGTGTGAATATTTTTACATTAGCAGAAAACATTAAGCACTATTTGAAGTGAGCTTCTGCCACTGGCAATTTCTCAAACAAAACCCAGGTCAGTTTTGCAAGACAATCTGAAAATAACGTGTAGTCAACTAATAAAATTATTGAAAAGAGTTGCTACTTGCAATAACTAAATAAATTACACATTTGTAAACAACTGATACGAATAAAATTGCTCCATAAGTCTAAATTGATAATACCTGCAAGACTCAGATATTATAAGCTTAAAAACTAAACAGAGGTTCAGGCTTGAAAATTATGTTGAAAATACTGATAAATTATCATTGGTTTTCCTATTTTATTGGCTAAAATAAAAATCACAGGTTGGGATACTGGGCCCTGATTCTTTACGCTATTACATCACTTTTATGCTGTTTTATTTCTGTTGACGTCAATGAAGTTACTCCAGCACAGGACTGATGAGTGGAATAGAGAATATTAAATTTCATTGACAACTCAGTACTGCCCAAATCTTTAGGATGCCCTGTGATTGTTTCGTTAGAGATGCATGTAATAATAACATGTTATGAAGGGACACGGTGCATATCAGCCAAAATACATGCTTTCCTAGCTATCCAACTGTTGTGAGGAAGCTATTGCATTGTGAAGGAGAAGAAGAAATGCACAAAACAAATATCTAGCAAATTCCCTCTGAGTGAATGTATCACCTGTTAGTTAGAAAGTGAAATCAGAGTAAGTCTTTGATTAATTCTATTTTTTAATTACTTTGCATTTTTTATTCTTATACTCTCTCCTATACTCCCCCTTCTCCTCTTTTCCCCACAGAAATAAAAGAGGTGGGGAAAGAAAAGGTAGGGAAAATATTTTTGTTCTGAAACAAAGATGTGGTTAATTGAAAGAACCCATGAGGGTTTTCAAACAAATTGGAAAAAAGACTGTTTCCGTCTAAATCATTCCCTGAATTTTTTTGATGAAGCTAATCAAAACAAATGTTCATTTCAAAATGAACAGTTTTAATTTTGTTCAGATATTTCTCAGGGAACACACACACAACATTTTTCAACCAGCTCTCTTGTATCTCAGTATATCACTACATATTCTCCTGAATACCTTTGATCTGTCCTTTATTTCACCCACACGTGCTGCTCTCACACTTTATCTGTCATAATTAGTGTCTTGCTTCAGTATGAAACTGTGCTCAGATATCCTTTGATATTTAGATTGACATTTTCAGTCTGAAGCTACTGAGTGGTTAAATTCACTCACTTTAAAGAGGAACTAAGAAATGAATAGAGCCTACTCTTATTGACACACTTTATTTCCTGTGAAATTAGATGAAGAGATGAGAACATAATCTCAATGTAGCAAGAAGCCATGACAGCATACCTCCTAGTATGCTATTGGCACATGCCTTGTATGCATTATGTGCTGGGAGACAAAAGGCAGAAGGTGTTTTTAGTCACAAGAGAGGTGCTCTAAAGCCTATGAATGCACATGCTGGAGTGGCCAGCTGAGCTTAGAATATGGCTATTTTACATAATAAAAAAATTAATAAGACCCATTAAATATTTCAGGATTGAAATATTACAATACAATACTAACTAACTGATGAGAAAAGAAAATAATATTTCATAACCTCTCCCCTTTCTCCGCTATTTTGAATGTATTTCTTTCTTGTTTTCTCCACTCCTAAACTGTTCTTTTAAAGATTCCTTGGACTACCTTGGGTGTTACTGTTAATAGGACCCACTTTAACAGAGAAGAAATACCTGCTCGGATGTCTTTTATATGAACTGTTTTACTGTTTTATGGATGAATAACATACAAAAGGAAGTCAGGATTTATGTCAACAACTTTTCCTGAGTGTCATTTGTACTGATAAAATAAGACTGGCTTCCTCTGTGCATTTGTATGGGGTGTAGCACGATGGAACCTTGATCCTGATGGGGGCCTTTGGTGGTGGAAAGAAAATAGGCAAAAAATTCTCAAAACCGGCTGCCCAAAATTAAACTTTAGGCACTTACATAAAGGAAGCCTGATTTTGAAAAGGCACTGAGCACCTGTAATGCAAAGTGACTTTACAGTCAGATTAGGGAGATTTCTGGAAAAAACATCAGGCCACTTTTAAAAGTGCCTAAATGAGGCAGCTGATTGTTTGAAAATGTTATCTAATAATAAATAAAAGGTGTACACTGAGCAGAGAGATTATATCTTAAGAATTAGCAGTATTGCTGCTAACTAGGCAGGCATCCTGGTGGGTATAGCGGGAGGCTAGGAGAAAGGACTTTTAAGTTCTAATCTTGACTCTTTCATTGACTCTCAACGTGACCTTGGACAAGTCACTTAAACTTTCTGCTTTCATTACTCCTTCTGTAAAATAATTTTAATGCTTAAACTACCTCATAGTGGCACTGCAAAGTAGTAAGTATTTATATCTTCCTCCAGAGACATTGCTTACTTTACAAACTATTATATATGTGGACTATTTTCTTTTTCCTTTTAGAGCAAGAGATTCTGTGAAACATTTCCATGTGGAACACACAGGGACTTCATTCAAGTTTGGCTTTAATGAATTTTCCAGCTTGAAGGACTTAGTCATGCATTTTGCCAACCAGCCTCTAATTGGAAGCGAGACAGGTAAATGATACATGTCATATGTGTGGGGGGAGGGTAGATGGTTTTAGGGAACCGACATCAGAGAGCCATTTTTACTCAAAACCTGCTCAAATGTCTCTCTTCACGTATTATTTTGTATGTGTCAATTTTAAATGTACCAGAACTAAGTAGCTCTTAAGGATACCATCTGCTTAATCTAAACACAACCAAAAGTACGCGGGTTGTGATTTCACCAGCATGGGACACAAGCCTGTTTTAGTGTCAGGATAGAGCTGGTATTAGAGTCTTCTCTACAATCCCTGAGGCAAAAGCCTTTGCTTGGACCCACGTTGGAGAAAGGAGGGAACCAAAACTGTTTTATGGAGCCACATGGTAGAACTTTTTTCATTTGTTAGATGCAACTCTGTGTGACATAAGTTAGAGCAGTTTGATGCTGGATGAGGCTCAGAACTGTAGAAATTGTTCTCAGCAGTGAAGTCAATAGGGTTTTAGTTTCAATTTGTTCTATGTTACTGAGAACAGAGGATGACCACATGATGATGCTTAACAGTGAAATACCTGTGCTCATTATGCTCTTGTCTAAATGGGATAGGTTAAAACAATCACACATTATAAGAAGCTTCTGTTGTTGCCCAGTCTTTGCTGCTAACACAATCTTGGCTCAGGATGTATATATGATGAGAAAAGTAGGATCCTTAAATGTCTTCCTTTCCCCAGCTTTTTGCTTTTATTGGGTTAAGAAATACAGGGTTAAAACCTACAATTTGATGACAGTCTCAAAATAACTTTTAAACGTTTTCTCAGAAAAGTAGGCATGGTGGGAGGGGGATGAGAGTAGAGGAAGGAGAGAGCTATGCAACAGTTTATTTCAATAAATTATTCTATGGAGAGTTTATTTCAACTTTCCACCCCCGAAATCCACAATGGTTTCCTCATCTCACCTGCAGTTGGCATGCCCTATATTTTACCATTAAAAAGTAATTTCCTTTGCCTTTCCTTCACTGAGCCAGAGCAGCCTGGTTGCTAACTTGCTCTGCCCTAAAACAGGGATTTTTTTTTTGTTTTTAAAGATTTGCTTTATCAATGTGTTATTTAAAACAAGAGAAGCACAAACTATATCAACAAGCAGCTGTTGCTTGAATGAGGTCAAGGAGAAGGCGAAAGACTCTTCCTACCAGCAGATCATAGACCAATTCACTTGTAGGGATGAAATTTAAAACACTGAGTTCAAATTTCTAGTTCTAATCCCGAGAGAAAGATGGATATATTCTAATGCTAAAAGTATAGGCTAGGTCTAGATACTAGTCACTTCTGAGTTCCAATCCTAGTTGTAGCACAGTCACTTGTGTGGCCATGGGCCAGGCTTCCTTGTTATGGTTTTCTTATCTGTATAATAAGGCTAACAGTTTTCTATCTCCATGGATGAAATTGCTAGGATTAATTAACATTTGTCAGACAAAAAACTGTTAATACGTTGGTGCCAAAAATGTAGCATTGTGAGCAAAAAAATATGCAAATAACTTGTATGTGCAGTAGCGGTCATTGTACATGCAAATGATTAGATAGATGCCTAAATGACTATTTGCAAGTGCAATTACTGTGATGACATATGCATGAATGAATATGCACTCAAACACTTTTGTATATTTGGGACATAAATATTAATCTTCTCACATGGTTTAAAAGGTTTATTTTAAAAATGCAACTATACTATGAACTGTGCTTCAACGTACTAGTTTGAAACATTCTCATGCTGCACATGAAACCAAACCTGTTTTTACAATCTAAATATACATTTTGGGCTATGAGAAGATTCTTATCTGAAGCCAGAAATATACCAGCAAGTTTAACTTTTCAAATATTTCAGATGACATATAGAAAATTATGATTTTTCCTACCTTCACTCCATGTGTTACATCCATTAGTGAATAAGGATTTGGTGCTATATGATCTCTTCAGGCTGGATCCCTAGTGCTGAATGATGTGCTTGGCAGTTGGCTTAAGACCCCCCTAATCAGATTCTGCTAGCTCTGTGAAACCCCTCTCATCTGTCTAAATTAGACAGAGCTATAGGCTGGAAATGGGTATTAAAGTATCTCACCAACAAGCTTGTTTCCACTTTTCTTTCCTATATACAGCAATATACAGGAAGAGGGAGTTAGCACCAATGCTGATTTCACATCTTGATGTCAAACCCCTTGAGCATTATTACCATAATGAACATGATTAATAATAATAGCAGCTTGTAGGGTCATTGCTAATTTATGGGAAAAAGAGAAGTAAGTTGTCTATTCAAGCACAGGAATTATAAGAGTTACCTTTTATGCATAAGAAGGTAAATGTCATTGGGCCAAGAGAGGTGAAATAGCTGGCCGAAGGTCAGAAAACAGGTCAATGGCAGAGCTGGAAACAGAATCCAGATCTGGCTAACAGCCCATGCTATCACTAGATAATGTGAGAACTTTGGCTCAGGCACTAGTGGACCGTAATTGTATAATCCATGTTTTTTATTTTATACGCTTGCATTGCATGGTAGAACTGGCAGCTCAGCAATAGGACCGAAGAAATAAGGAATCTGAATTATTTTATTCTCTGGCTGGTTTTTAAACAAAGAACTCCACAGGCTTATGCTGTCACCACAGAGAAAAACAAATCCTTTATAAAGGCTCCCCTCATCCAATTTTCATATTACAGTACTATATTTAAAAGTACAGTTAGTTTGGGCTCTAAACTGTTGTAGAGGTGCGGGGAAAAAAGTCAGACAAGCTCATGGTTCTCAAGCCTATATTCCATGTTACTAGCAAATAACTTATTGGAGCTGCTCAACAAGTTTTCAACAAAAATTTTTAAAACTTTGTGATAAATTGTCATTATCAGACATTGTCACCAAAAAGTCTCTTAATTAACATTTTTCCATTTTACAAAACTCTGGTTTTTAAGTCAGTGACATGTTTTTTTGTTTATTAAAAACGTAAAAATCACTAGCTGAAAAATCTTGATAACTTTTTTGATGTTTTATAAAAACGTTTAGCAAAAAAATTAATGAAAAATGTTTTTTAAAAAATGAAAAATGAGTCACTTGCAGACCCTTTAGAATGAAAATACATTTGAAATATTTTATTGTACTAATTTTTTTACCAGCTCTGGTATCTTGTCCGCAAGACTGATTGTTTTGTGCTCACTTTTAAACTAGTATTTAAAATTTGTGTAGTCTCAGAGTATGTCTACACTGCACACATATTTCAGAATAAGCTATTCTGGAAGAAATATTCCGAAATAGCTTATTTCAAAATAGCACGTCTACACTACAGAGAAAGCTTGAAATTAGCCCAAGGTGGGCCCCCCTAATGTGGATGCACTACCTCAATTTAGAGCCCCAGGAAGCACTAGGGAGTAATTACTATGAATGGCCCTGGGGAGGAGCTATTTCAAAATAGAAACAGTGGAGTGTCCACACTTCAGCTATTTCGAAATAGCTATTTCGGAAGAAGCATTATTCCTCGTGGAATGACGTTTACAGAAGTTGGAATAAACTGTCCATATTTTGAATTTATTTCAAAATAAGGGAATTGTTGTGTAGACCCTCGCATTGTTATTTCAGAATAATGGCTGTTATTTCGAAATAATGCTGCTGTGTAGATGTACCTGCAGTGATTTGGGCATCCCACTGAGGGTGCGTCTAGACAGTGGCACTATTTCAGGATACTTTTGGTATCCTGAAATAGCGTTTTCTGCATCTTGACAGCACGACTGTTATTTCGAACTAACAGGCATGATATTCTGAAGTCTCTGTAAACCTCATACCACAAGGATTAAGGGACATTTCAGAATAGCACACTATTTTGAAATTTGGCACTGTGTAGATAGAGCCAAATTTCGAAATAAGTCATTTTGAAATTAACTCGAAATAAGCTATGCAATTTACATAGCTCAAATTGCGTAGCTTGTTTCAAGATAAGGGTGCAGTGTAGATGCACCTTGAGTCAGGAGAGTTTGTTTCTTCTCCCTCTCGATCACCAACTTAGTATGAAATCTTAGCCAAGTCATTTAGATGTGCTATGCCTCTGTTACCTATTGGTCAGTTATGGAGACTATGAACCCAACCCAAGCCCTTGGAGATCTATGATTGAAAGCTGCATAAGGCCCTAAAATCTGATGCATGTGGGTGTTGTGCTGGTTTGGGTCCGAAGCGTTAGAATTCTAATTAGAATCTTATTTCTGTCTATAACTTCATTAGTCATAGCAAACAGCCATATACACTAATGCTGGTTTTTACCTCAGTGTTCCAATGCTCACATTTCTTTTTGTACTTTAGATAATGCAAACAAACAAAAAACAAACAAACAAACAAAAATGTGACTGTCTGCTATTTGATGTGCAACATTTCCTTGAATAGACTAATTGACTCAGTTATAAAAGCCCACTTCAGTAACAAGGGCAGAAGCTATACACTATCATATTTCTTTCTTCTTGCCAAACTGACAGTCTATTTGTTTGCCTTCTTTATCAATTCTCAGCTGCTGTTTTTTGAAAACCATGTGTAAACTTTGAGTCATTACATAGCATGAAAACCAGATTTGGCTTTAATCAGTTTCAACTTCCAAGAATACAGTGATAAACTGGTATTTTCCTGTTCCTTCACCTTTCAGGCTATTCCTATTCATTGGAAAGCAGAAATATATACCAACCACCCACCCCCAAAACTAAAACCACACACCACAAAAATGTCTTGCTATAGATTAAACTGGACATTTCTACTACTTTTATATTTTCTGAACTACTCTACATAAAGTATTCATTATGGAAAAATCCTACAGAACATAATAGAAAATAATATTTTGACAGAATGTTTAAATCAGTATGTGCAGTTCTGCAGCAAGAGTATAATTGTCTATGGAGCTTAATGCATTCTGTTCAGTTCTGTAGTCTTATTTTGAGTAATTGCAAATAGAGCCCTCTTGGTTCTGTCCTTATTAAATGCAAAAGCAATCTTCCATGGAGCTAGGGAAAATTAAACTGAC